ATAGGTATTCAGAAATTATAAGAAACACAGTAGGTATTACAAGAGAATTATACAGAATCAGATAAGGGAGGTAGATAAGAATACAGGTGGTAGACCTAAATATGTTAGGTTAAACAGATAACTGAAAGACCATGCATGCAGAAATTCAAGATATAGAGTATCTACACAGCAGGTAGGAGGTTATATGTAGATGTAAAGAGCCAGGGATACAGGAGAAAGAATACAGGGAGGGGATACTGGTAAGCGTGTGAATGTATTACCAGAGTATAGGATAAATGGGGTAATTAAGATGGTAGTAATTGTAAACAGGATAAGTGGCCTACATTACAAAAAAAAAGAATCTAAGATATAGTATAAATTTTGACAAACAAAATGAGTAGTCCATATCAGTATAAGTATAAGTAATAGGAAGAAGGAAGAACTAGGAGAAGAATTGGACACATAAAAAGAAAAAAGAAGACAAGTGGAACAAGTAATAAGAGGGACAAAAAACCAAGAAGAGGTGAGAGGAAAAAAGTAAAAGAATACCTAAGCCTAAGAACGAAGGGGGTGCAACCTGGTGCAGAGGAAGAAGGGGAGATAGAAGAAAATATTTAAAAATAAGAAATAATAATAAGAAAGATCCTCGAGATTTCTTGGCTGTCTCGGACTGGTACCGATTGAGATATAGGAGTAGATAGAATGGTGAGATAGTAAAATATGCAGCAAGTAAGCGAGGTTTTAAGCAATAATACAAATTTGAAAACCTGAGCAGGTCTAGAATAGGTTAATAGAAGTGGTGTTAAAGTTGGAGGCCGAAAGAGGCAATATTGGCGGAGATCACGGGGGGTACCGCAATAAATACCATAATAAATAGGTGCCTTATTGGCTGAAAGCGAGTTCGTAGAGTGGAAAAAGTATGGATTTTTTGCTTCTAGTGTACTCAAACAGTCTTAATTGAGGTAGTAATGTTCTTGGAACCCCTAATTAGGCATTTTTATTACCTGAAAAGTATTACTACCCTGCGAAAGCAGCTAATTATCACCCGAATCAGGGCCCAAAAGTGGAAAAAAAGCAATCTTTATATGTCCATTCTATTTAGAATAGCCTAAAAGGGGCATCGAGTGTCTTGGCACTCCAAAATAGGCAGGGTATTGGCCTGCAAGAGGGCACTACAGAAAGTTAGGATTGTTCATGGAATCTCACTCACATTCCCAGCAAGATACAAAGAGGTGTGATCATGGAATCTCACTCATTTTCCCTGCCCAGGAAAAAAGACTGACATCAGAGGGGTTGGTAGAATAGGAGAATAGGGGGGTGAGAAGGAAGAAATCTCTTGCAGTTATTAGATAACAACGAAATGGATTCCTTGAGATTTCATGAATGTCTCAAGGCATGATCTGGGGAGAGAGTAATACTAATAGTTTTATGAGAAACAGAAAATGTATTAAAAGAGATGAAATATATAAGTAACAATAGAATTTTAAAGCTACAGGGGTATTCAGAATGGAATAATAGACATTCTGTAAAGTTTTGGAAACAATTGAAGCATATTCCGCGGAGATTGGGGGGGGTACCGCAATAAATACGGGAATAAATGGGCACTTGATTGGCTGAAAACAGGTCTGTAGAGGTGAAACAGTGGGGATCTTTTGCTTCCAATGTGTTTTAACAGGCTTAATTGAGGTAGTAAACTTCTTGGCACCCCAAATAGGTATGGTTATTACCTGAAAGGACTTACTACCATGAAAAATAAGCTAATTATTCCCTGAAACAGGGCTGAAGTATAGAAAAACCCTATTTTTTTAATTTCTATTGTATTTAGAATAGCTTAAAATAGGTAGAGGGAGTCTTGGTATTACAAAATAGGTACATTATTGGCCTGAAAGAAAATACCACAGGAAAAAAGCAGAAAGTGAGAATGCAATTATGGAGTATGAAGGAAGAAAGATTGAGAAATCTTGGTAAGTAATAATAAAAGAGTAACAGGGATCCTCGATATTTTCTGGATCACTTAAAGGGGGATCTTGGCACATAGCAGGACTAATAGTTTTCTGAGAAACAAAAAATGTATTAAAGGAGATGAAATATATCTGTAAGAATAGAATTCTGAAGGTGCAGAGGTATTGAGAATGAAGTAAGGGACATCCTGGAAAGATTTGAATCCAAAGGAGACAAAGTCCATGAAGATTGTAGCAGGTACTACAATAAATACAGCAATAAATAAAGTAGTTTTTTAAGAAAAAAAACTGAATAAGGCTGAAAAGGTGGGAGTGTTTTTTGAGAGATGGACTCAGAGTAGCCTAATCTGGGTATAGCACAGTTGAAAATAACAAAATACAACCCCTGGTGGTATGAAATAGGGCAGCAGCACTGCAAATGTATGGTTTGTAGTACAGGAAGAGGAAAGTTTACATTGTAGGTACCTTAAAATAGATCTGAAAGAGGATTCGAAGGGCTTGGCATGAAGAAATCTAAGTCTCAGAGGACTTGGACTAATCCAAAAGGGTAAGGGTGATAGGGTAGAATCATGAAATATCACTCATATTTCCTAAGAGTGGTGTTTTCTACCACAGGTATCTGCCTTAGAAATGGTTTTCATTGGTTAGGATAATTCAGGATTGTTTGGGATCATGATGTTTCTGAGAGTTTGACTCCCTAGGGTTTGCTGGCTTCAGCCTCCTTTTGGGGTTGTTAGCTATTCAGAGATATATATATCTCGTTTCATGTCATTAAGTTAGCTAGTAACTGAGCCCCATAGATTCCCCAGTCCATCATTTCCCCCTGTTCTACCCGCTCCATTCACTGAGATCCTGCTCCCACTATCGTATTGGGAAGTCTTTTAAGAAATACTTGCGCTCCGTAGCATTTCCCTCTAACTAAAATCCCTTCAAGTCTATAATCTAGAGGGAAGGGAGAGGCGAGAAAGGTGGTGTAGGAAAAATAAATGAATAGAAGGAACAATAAAAGTACACAAAGGATTTACTGCCAGAAAGGAAATTAAGGGAAGCGCTGTAGATACACGAAAGTCTCAAGCCGCGCGCGCCGACTCGCATCAGTACCATAAAAATATCTCCCTACTAACGCCAAACCCTAGATTATAAACTGAATCTCACAAATCCTAACACAACTGTATGAGGGGACTCACATGGAGGCTTAGACAGGTATCCGATACATATGGGAATGCGCATCGCATGCGGCTTCCTTTGAGCAAAAGATGATTTAAGCCGGGCCTTCATGGCAAACGCACTAAGGAAGGAAACCGGAGAGGGGAACCACCGGTACCACAAAATGGCAGAGGTAGACGTGATGATAAAGCTGTTGTCGGTCCTTGCGGAAATGGTATATTGATTATCCATACTTGAAGGCGGTAGGGAGGGTAATGTCTCCTCAGCCTTAGGTCGTCCCGGGGACCGCGGGTGCCGGAGGTGGCAATAGCGCTATTACTTTCGCATTGCCACACTCAGTAGCCCACCAGAGCGGCGTTCGGCCCAACTTGTCTGGCTTGCCGGGGTTGACATCGCATCGTCCGAGCAGTACTCTCACCACTCCCTCATGCCATCTCTTAGCAGCATGGCAGAGTGGCGTTCGGCCACTATTATCCGGTCTTTCGGGATTGATGTCCCCTCGCCCGGCCAGCAATTTCACCACTCCCTCGCTCCCGCCCTCAGTAGCATAATGGAGTACTGTTTGGCCGTACATATCTGGGTTGTCTGGGTTGACGTCGTCCCGTCCGAGGAGTATTTTCATCGCACCCTCATGCTCATTACAGACAGCAAGCTGGAGCGGTGTTTGGTCGAAGAAATCTAGTTTTTCGGGGTTGACTTCCTCCTGTCCAAGTAACATTTCCAACACTCCCTCGTGTCCATTCCAAGCAGCACGGTGAAGTGGTGTTTGACCGGCGTCATCTGGTTTGTCGGGGGTGACGTCGTCCCGTCCGAGGAATAATTTCACCACTCCCTCAAGGCCATTCCCAGCAGCACAGCAGAGTGGTGTGCTGCCAGACCCACCCGGTTTGTCGGGATTGATGTCATTGTGTCCGAGCAACATTTTCACCACCGCCTCGTGCCCGTTCAGGGCAGCCCAGATGAGGGGTGTATTGCCCATTCAGCCTTCTTGGTTGATATCGCGGTGTTCTATCACTATCAGACCGGCTACGGTCTCAACAGTTCAGAAGCGAGGGGTGGGGTGTGGACTTCTGGACAGGAAAGCTTGTCGGGATCAGTGGCGTATTGTGAGACGGTGTGCAGCGGGTCGGATGTTGGTAGGGGGAAAGTTCTACTAAGTTGACCTTGGAATAGCAGCGCCGGGTAACCTTTATCCACAACCAGGATCCAGTCAGACGCGCTAACCCAATTTTGTGTGGTATCATGCTCGTACTGTATCATATGTATTTGGGTTAGGACTTGTGCGCAGTGTTCGCAACGGGCCAGACCGGACTGGGAGGACTGGAGGCCGTCCGTGCTAGGCCAGGCCGTCCTGATGTGAGGCTATGGACTAGGCAGTCTCGTCCACAAGAATTGCTGGACTGGACGGACTGGCCTGGACTGAGAATGGTCTGCTGGATTCTGGAATGTGTACGGGGTTGATAACTGGAGGTTGTGAGTAGTATATCTCAAAAAGATTGTTAGCTTTTTTTCTCCTCTCTCTATGCCACTTCCACAAGAATTCATATTAACCTTCTAGGTAGTGGAGTCAATAAGGAAAAATAGTAAATAGCCTATTACATGAAGTTGCATATATGATAAAAAATATAAATAAAAAGACTCAGATTCTAACACTATTGCTGTTTCTCCACCCCTGCCTGCTGCTATGTCTACCCCTGCCTGCCGCTATGTCTACCACTGCTGACCACTATATCCATCCCCTCCTACCTACTGCTCCATACCAGTGCCTCCTACTCCTTGCAGTATCCTTGTATTTATTTCTTCTAACTATTAGCCTCCTGTGTATCCTAGCTATCATAGAATCAGAACTACTAACCAGAAGCCAATATCTCCAGCCTTCCAGACTCAAGCCTCCTATTTCGCTATAATTGGTAATTGTTGTTCCTCACTGGAGGAATCGAGGAGAAGACGGCCTCCAACATATCGGACTTCTATATTCAATGCTTGATTCTCAAGTTCCTCTAAAGAGGAGGTAATCACAAAAGCATCTTGGAACGGAATAAGACCTGCTTGTGCCCAGGACTTTTGATACTTGCCAGCCTCAATGATGTCTTCTCTGAGTCGGTTTCTGCAGTCAGTAATTGTGATTTTTGTACTAGAAGCATATTAATAAAGTATAAATACAGAAATAAAAATTAAACTGAAAGGACTCCAAACCTACTAGATACGTGTTCTACTTCTGCAGACATCGCCGGAACACAAGAGGTATCAAAGGCAAGCTGGGAGAGATTAGGAAAATCAGGATGATTTGCTAGCCACCAGGCCTTTGGATTGGTAATGGTGATATTTGTATCCATTAATTGAGAATACAGAGAAAGCTTATCATCAGTGATGGTTTTTGGAATAAGGCAAACTTGCTTATAACAACGTGATGTAGAAGTGGTTGATGGAAAAGGGGAAGTTGCTAATAATGATGAGGCTGAAGATAGAAGTGATGGGGATACCAACACTGGAGAAAGGTAGGTCCTATAATTTTTTTCCCAGAGGTCACGAACCCACTGATGTGCTTTTTGAGTCCAGCCTTACCAGCTATCCTTATCTCATTCAACCTGAAAAAATAGAGCCATGTCTGGATTCAATATGAGTGAGGTACAGAGAATTGCTAACAGGGTATTTTTTGAATAGTACTTGTTTAACTTCTCGTTTACAAGTGTAAGACAAGTAATCATAAGTGAAGAGGGGAAATAAAACTCTAAGGCAAGAGCTATATGCTTTCAAAATAGTTCTAATAAAGGGTAAACGTTGTAAAGCACACCATGGGGCCGGTGTCCCTGGAGTTGAAGAATTTTTGCGTTAAACAGTACTAAAAAGTGTGCAATATTCATCAAATATATCCAGTCCTCAGGTGTCAGCTGGTCGCAATATATTGAAAGATGAGGATCTTGAGTAATATTTTCCGCAATATAAACATCTGTTGCTCGGCGCATGAGTAAGGCCTGCTCAATAGCTAAAAAATCTGCATTCCATCATATAGGACTTCCTATTATGAGTTTTCATGTGTTGGTAACCTCTTTATATAATAGTTCGACCATATGCGCAAATCCCTCCAATCTTTGTAGACTTCTCCAAATCCAGGTTATGAGATTTCTTAGTTTTCCAAGTGGACCAACCTTCTACCATTCATCAACTGCATGATTTTCTGCCACAATTGCCTTCTTTTCTCCTGTGTTAACCCCTAAGTGAAGAGACTTTTTTCCATACCAAAGAACTCTTACAACCAGATTCAAAACATGACCAAAGCAACGTATATATCGACTTAATGTTTTAAATAATTGACCTGTACCCTCAAGTGCTAAATTAAACTGTATGGATAAATGATCAAAACAGCTTAAATTATTACTTGCATTATCTAAGATAAAGTAGCCCACCAATTTGTTAATATCATACGCAGTAAATATCGTCCAAACAAGGTTGCCTTGGTTTATTCCACTATGACTTCCTTTTACATATCTTAATGCTAATAGTACATATTTGTTTTCTCCTAAATTATCCATCCAACGAACTACAATACCAAGTATTGATTTTGAAATAGGAGATGTCCAAAGATAAAATAAGCGGGATACCGATGATAAGGATTGATGGAGTGATGTACGAAGTCTTTGTTGATTTTCCTTAAATGCTGTGAGAATCCATAATTTGACTGTATTTCCATATTTGGGTAAGGCCTTTCCTAAAGCTGTAAATGAGGCACACTATAATATATTTAATACTAGTTAGCCTTAATACTATTTTTTTGTTAAAACATAAAGTAAACTTGAAGGCCTAAGTAGAAGGAATAGTAAAACACTTTAGTAATTTAAGACTTGTGATACATACAACAGCACGAAGATACATTAATAAAGCCCGAAATTCTAGTGCAGTGATATGGTAGAAAGTGATATTGTCTATAATTATCCATCGCAGTAAGAGTTGCTTAAATATGTCACTACTGAATACATAAGTAGGAAGACTATTGACTAGTGCGATTGGTAATATAGACTGTACTGTGGTCGCACCAGTAGTCTTTCCAACTCCTGAGATACGATTTGATTCCGAAATAGCCATGGTACTATCATGATTGAATCCATGCAAGTAAACAAGATAGTTTATCATATTCTTGGTTGATCCATCTGTAAATGAAATTTTCCTTTGCTCTGGGTCTGCAAATACTAATTAGTTTATTGATATCTGTATAGGAAGAAGCAGTTTCATACACCGAGCACAATGCCATTTCCAACTATTTATTTTTTTATGCCAAACATCCTTTTCATTTCCTAATAACCATACCCAACTTTTTCTCTCCTTTCTTGCTGGCCATTCTAATGGATCCTTCTCTTGTCTATTACCATCACCTTGAACCATACTGTCTGACTGTGATGAAACTAATGAAATAATAGGAGACTCTGCCATGGTAGTGGTATTTCTAGAACTGAGAACTAGATTCGGGTACTGATTATTGGTTGGTGCACTCAACTCTGGCGTGAGCAAAGATGAAAGCTGTATGTTTGAGTTCTTTGACATTGTTCAAATTATCTGGGAGGTGATTTTCCTTTCCTCCTACTCTTGGCCCGGGTGTTTCTTCTTTTTACAATCTTATCCATTTACCTCATCTGTCATGTGCCATAGTTACGTTAAACTTTTTTTTTCTGAATAACAGTCACAACACTACCTGTCAGCCGACTATAGTCCGACTATAGTCAGTCCAAACTGCTACACCTATGGTCTATGGGACTGTAGTCCGACTTTACCCAATTAATCTACTGGACTAGTCCGTCCGGCCACTACCATGGACTGGACGGACTGGCCCGTTGCGAACACTGCTTGTGCGTGAGCTTCTGTCTAGAGCTTGGCGTTCGTGGGGGGTTATTCTCTCGCAATGTGATAGCCCAATGTGGCTTGAAACTTTTGATTACAATATTTTTGCAGCACGACAGAGTGGCGTTTGGCCGTACGTATGTTTGTCGGGGTTGACATCGTCCCGTACGGGTTGGAATTTTCACCACTTCCCCCCTCAGGCAGCACAGAAGTGCGGTGCTGAGCCATAATTTCTGGTGTGTCGGGTTGACGTCGCCCCGTCCAGGAAGCATTTTGACCACTCCCTCATGCGCATCCCAAGTAGCCTAACAGAGTGGTGTTCGGCCGTAGATGTCTGGTTTGTCGGGGTTGACGTCGTCCCGCCCGAGTAGCATTTTCATGCCTATCCCGAGTAGCACAATGGAGCGGTGTGTTACCGCCGTCGTCTTATTTGTCGGGGTTGATGTCGTCCCGTCCGAGTAGCATATCCACCACTCCTTCGTGCCCATACGAAGCCGCACACCAGAGTGGTGTTTCGCCGCTCCAGTTCGCTTTGTTGGGGTTTATGTCTTCGTGTCTGAGCAGTATTCCCACCACGGCCTCGGGCCCATTCAGGGCAGCCCATATGAGAGGTGTGTTGCGCATGGAGTCTTTTGAATTGATATCGAAATCAACAACCTGTTGTTCCCTCGATTTATAGCGGGTCGACCGTCAGTAGGAAGGTGTAAAAAAAAATTTGTTGCAACCTTCAACCAAAGCGATGATGCACTGCTATTAGAGAGTTTGCGCAGGTAGACCTAGGTGGGAGTTATTAATGATGTCACTAGGGGTTGCCACTCGCATCAACAGCCCATCAAACTCCGGACAATTGTTGAGTTTCTTAAATTCCATGTATTTAAGAGGTCAATCCATCAGCCAATTCTTAACTTTCATGAAATTTCTCTTCTCAGGATTGTCCTTGAGAAGATTAGCTACAAAATCATACCTGAATAGAGGCATAAAAGTGCAATTCAAGTGGACATTTGTGGTCCTCAATTCCAGGTCCGATTTTCGGGTTTTTACACCTTGACCAGGTGGGACCAAAGAACCAGGTGGCCAAGCCTTATTGTTAACTTATATTAACACCACCTAGGTCTCGCTGCACAAACTCTCTAATGACTGCACACTGGTGGCTAAGAAGGTGTTAGTTATTTATACGGTGGTCATTGTGCGCCTAATTTTGCTATGAGGCTGTCATATAGCACTAGTACAGTCGCCCACACAACCCTCGGCACCGCTGCCGTATCCGTGGTCCCTCTGCAACAGCCGAAGGTAGCCGTGCGCGCTAAGGCTAGATTTTATAATTGTTAGCCGAACTCGGGCGAAAAATCGGACAATCGGATTTTCTATCACCAATTAACTCAGCACTCAAAAAAACAAGTTTAAATACAAGTACGAGTGCTTATATAGCAAATCACAAATCTAAAAACAATTCTAGGATAGGTTTAGCGTACCTGCGTTCAATTTATAGACTTGGTGGGGGGCCAAGAATGAGAGAGTAACGTTATCGCCGGGGAACAACTACTGTATTACGGGGAATGGGGTATAGATGTCACAGGCAAACTAGAGGTTTATTAGTAAGAGATTGGATGCCGGATAGAAAACAGTGACGACGGAATACGGTACGATACTGAAGGAAAGGGAAAAGAGGGGGAGAAAAAAAGTGAGATGTGGATCTTCATAAAAACTGCGGTTCCTGATCCGGACAACTCTACTAAAGGAAGAAAGCGCACGGGGTTTGGCCAACAGTACTCGTCCTGGTGGCCATCGAGAGATACCTACAAGAAGCCCGCCAGCCATAAGCGGGTGGAACTCGAACGGGGGTCAGAGTCGAATCTCGGCGCCTTGAGCGAAATCCTTCAAAAAATACCGGTACACAAGTGGTCAAACTCACCAGGACAATTCATCCTTCACCGGCTCCTCCTTTCTATCCAAACTCGGTCTCTACCGTAGGTCCCCACTCTTGCCATCTAAAGTGGGTATCACCCGGTACCTATGTCTCTACCCATCTCTACGCCCCAATAAGAAAAGGCAAACAATCCGCCCATCGACCAATTCGCAAACTGTCAATTCTGTCTTTTCGGTGTTTTATGATTACTGATTTTCTTGCCGCCTCTCTAGTCTATTGGTAGTTTATGTTTTCTTGTTTTCTTGTTTTTTTCCCAATAGAAGGGTATCAAACGGGGGGGGGGTCCTCCGAACTCCTACTCCATGCAGGTAATATGCATCTGGAAAAGTCCATCACGGGTATTCGTTGTTGACCAAGTTTTTTTTTTCGAGATTATATTGTACTCGTAGAATGGGAGTTAATCCTGCCATCAAAACACTGCTTACCGTATCAATTAGCCTCGGTGGGCAGGACTAAAATACGCGGACAGGCTCCCAACATCCCCTCCGAGCTCACGCATTGAGGGCAGTCAATCCCAATCGTCACCTTAGGTTGATTGATAGCTGGGTTTCGCGTTGCCCTCCACGAGTGTCGGAAATGTCGGATTACCTGTGGGGCATGCGGTTAGGTATTATAGCTAGGCGGTAATGTCTCTTGCTCCCTATGCCGCTTCGGCAGAGGGTGATAGATGTCCCTTCCGCACCTCAAGACGTTTGGCATAATTAGGGTAGTTGGTTTGGTTTGTTTCGCCCTCTACGCCGGTGGGAATGGGGATGGGTTCAATGGATCAGGATGGTTCTGGGCTGTTTGGGATAACGGAGGATCAGGGGGCCTCTGAGGTGTCCGTTTTCTCAGAACTCGTAGCGCTTCCCCCGGTATCATGGGCTTCATTCGGAGATATATCTATTTATTGGTCTGCCCTTCGCTAGCTTCTCTGTCGGTTGTCTCCGCTAGATCCTACAGACACCATCGGGCTCCGTGCAGTAGTAGTATCTTTAGGGAATTCGTGAACTTCGTGTTAACCGCCTCCACCAAACTACCCCCCGCCGATACCTATGGTAGGGGGCAAGAAGAGGAAAAGGGGAAGGGATTGTAGAGAGATAAGGTTCTGGTGAACGGGTGATATGCAAGAAGTATTCAAGGACAGAAAACAAGAGAAAAAGTGTGCTGCCTTAAGTGGGCACGGGGGAGTGGTGGAGATGCTACTGGGATGGAATGATATCGACCCCAATAATCAGGATAATAGCGGCCGAACACAACTCCGCCAGCTGTTGAGAACTGGCGTGAGGGAGTGGTGAAAATGTTGCTCGGGCGGACGGTGTCAACCCAACACCACGGACAAATTAGACGGAACGGGTCTCTGATAGACAGCTGAGAATGGCCATGCGGTACTGATAGTGCTTCTGCAGCTCCTAGCATCTTCTGCACCTGGTACAACCTAGGGCCGAGAAGACGTCACCCTCCTTTCCCCCTTTGAAGTGGCACAAGTTCTGTGCCAATTCTGCAACGATTACAGCGGCCCCATGGCCACGCTTACCGCCGCTATCACTCCCCCCCTCTCCCCCAACCTCCTGCAGTTTTCAAACTCCGCCTTCCAGTGCCGGAAACCTCCCTCTTCCGTGTCCTTCCGCATGCTGCGAGGCCCGGCTTACACATTTTCTTTTCGTTGAATAAAATCCTTTGCGATGGGAATGCGCCTCTCTATTAGATACCTGTCTGAGCGGATTTTCTTACGTAGTTAAATTAGGATTTGTGAGCCCCGGCCTAGAATGTGGCATGTGTGGGGGGTTGTTTCTGTCGTGTTGAGATATTCTGGTGCGGTTTAAAGTTTTCGTCATAATATTATTCACAGTACATTTCTCTGTCATTTTCTGGCGACTGACGCCTTTTGCACATTTATTGTCCCTTGTTTGTTTACAATTCTTTTTTTTATCCCACAGCTCATCT